TTATACAAATCAAAATGTTAAATGTCAAGTGTTTTTTGGCTACACCTTTGCGCAAAAAAATTAAAATAACTTTTAATGTTATGAAATATACTTATATTCAGTAAATTTTGACGATAACATGTATATTGGTTGGTAAATATGATTATAACGTTTTCTTTTCTCTCATAATTATCTTTATTAGCACTTTGAATTGCCATATGCGTGGCTTAGAGGTAACATGGTACTTGCACGCAATCCTGCCGAAGTAATACAAATCGTGACTCACATATTTATGTCACTATATCATTAGAATATTATGTAGAGAAGGCTGATTGTGTATGGTAGAACGAAATTGCTTATTTAACCTTAAAAAGGTTTTCAAATAGGTACATTTTACGTCTGATCACTAGTCCCAGTATATTTTCGCGTAGGTTTAAATCAACATTGATCCCTTTTTATTTTAAAGGCATTAAAAAAGGAAATTATGATATTTTTTGGTAAACGAGTTTCTTATGACTAAATAAATATTTAATAGTATTACAATTAATAAGTCGAAAAAAGGGGGGCATGACGAAGTCGTGAGGTAAGATGGGGTTACGCTAATATACATGAAACTAGATATTTGCGAATAGAAGACCACAAGCCAATAAGAAGCCGCACTTGATGAAGGGTTAGTCTGAGAGACGTGTATGCATTCTGTTGGGGAGCTTGGCCCCGCTTGACGAAACATTTTTGTTACTGCTGTATACATAGATGAATAATTGATCACACAAAATATAAAACTCGAAGGACCAGTGTATGTCGATTAAAAAGATCCGTACTGTATAATACGTTTAATAATCCTACACTTACACGCTAAATTAACTAAAACAAATATTACTTGCTACTCCAAAAATATTGTTGCTTGTTTGATAGTCTGTATTGATCTGATGTTATTGCTACAATATAAAAAAAAAGTTTGGGTGTTTCATTCCCACCAGCCACTAATGCTGGTGGGCGGGCATTCCCTCCGGACTACGCCGGAAGGTAGGGCGGAAAGCCCTCTTCAACCTGCTTTCAGGAATCGTGGGAATGGGTGGGTGGTGGTTCGGGTGAGAAAGATGAGACGGACGAAATGAAGACAGAAGAGAATGAAAGATTATCTGTGGAATATTACTGCCTCAGCATTTGCCTAAGTGATCCAAGGAAACCACAGAAAAACTTGGACCAAGGCAGACG